ACTGAGAGAGAGAGGGGTTAATACAGACACACTGACTGGACACTCCAGTACATTAACACTGCACTGAGAGAGAGAGGGGTTAATACAGACACACAGACTGGACACTCCAGTACATTAACAGTGCGCTGAGAGAGAGGTTAATGCACTACAGCACAGTGGAAGGGAAAGTCCCTAATTCTACCCTCTGAGCCTCAAAGCACAAGGCATGCTGGGAAACGGTAGGGCTGGCGGTAGGGAGGGGGTGTCATGTGACTTCTCGGAATGAGGATCTCAAAGCCCTCTGTTCTGAGACACACTGTGCACACAAACTCACACACAATGTCAGAGACAGACTTGAACACGTGGAAGCAAAGTTCACAAGCTGCACCACCATTTCACCGTCTTCAGACTTCGGTCTTAATGAAACCAGCTCGTGACACCTGTGAAATCCCATGGCCACAAAACCTGCTGTCGCTGGAAAACATAGAAGATGTGGCTCCAGGGACAACAGTCCAGATCACACTGCTTCTGGTTAAGAGGGTATGTGTTCAGGGTATGACTTTGCTCTGTGGCTTACTGGCACACCTGTGGTCCTGCAGTGCTGTCAGTGAGAGCTGTGTCTCTCCTCCAGTGGATGGAGACTCTGCTGTGGTCCTGCAGTGCTGTCAGTGAGAGCTGTGTCTCTCCTCCAGTGGATGGAGACTCTGCTGTGGTCCTGCAGTGCTGTCAGTGAGAGCTGTGTCTCTCCTCCAGTCACTTTTTTCTTTTTCCTTTTGCAGACACTTCCACTGCGTCCCCTGCTCATCCCAGTGGAGGTAAAATCCTCTGTCTTTGTTTCTTTTCTGTGGCACATGCCCAACAGACATACCTCCCCTTGCTGTTTGCGTAGTGGCGCGTGCCAAACGACAGACCCCCCCCCAACTGTTTGCGCAGTGGTGCGTGCCAAACGACAGACGCCCCCCCCCACACTGCTTGTGCAGTGGTGCATGCCAGTCTGTGGTCCTGGGTGGATTTCACTGGTACCGAATACGAGACGACGTCCTGCCCCAATCCACACTTCGCACAACCTCTCCCCGTCACAGACGCACAAAGTCAGCTTCCTCAGCTCGCTGAAAACACGCAGAATGAGGTGAACAGGCAAGAAGGAAACTCCATTTCCCTGGCAGGATATCGGGCTCGGTGGCAGCGCAGAAACCTCAAAGCCACCGCGCACAGCTTCTGGTAACACACGGCTTCAAAAGAAACGAAAACAAGACAGCGCTCCTGGAGGCAGAGGCGCTGGTAGAGATCTTGTAACGGCCCCCTTTAGATGCTGAGGTCCGGGTCCGGGGACAGAGGCGCCGCGACTTGGCCGCTGGGAAACGCCTCGCCCCTCGCATATCGGACACGCTGTCTCTCCGCCCTCTCCGCACGCGGAGCCTGGAGAACCAGCGCACCTGTCCAGCAGGATCAGCCAATTGACCAGAGAAGGTCACCTGAGAACAGGTTCGCGATGACCTGGAGACGCTGTTCCTTCCCCAGGGGTACTGCAGCGCTGTGCCCCAGGGACTCGAACCCGTGACCCCCCAGTGATAGGTGCACAGCCCTGACTGATCCCCCACACTGCTGCCTGTACACTAACCCTGGGACAACAGAGAAAGACCTGGAGACAGAGCACAGTACTGCTCCTTCAGGGGGCCCTGCAGCGCTGTGCCCCAGGGACTCGAACCCGTGACCCCCCCAGTGATAGGTGTACAGCCCTGACTGATCCCCCACACTGCTGCCTGTACACTAACCCTGGGACAACAGAGAAAGACCTGGAGACAGAGCGCAGTACTGCTCCTTCAGGGGGCCCTGCAGCGCTGTGCCCCAGGGACTCGAACCCGTGACCCCCCCAGTGGTAGGTGCACAGCCCTGACTGATCCCCCACACTGCTGCCTGTACACTAACCCTGGGACAACAGAGAAAGACCTGGAGACAGAGCGCAGTACTGCTCCTTCAGGGGGCCCTGCAGCGCTGTGCCCCAGGGATTCGAACCCTGCCGTGTCTCACCTGGCGCAGGTTGTTGAAGATGTCCAAGTGTCGGCCTCCTCGCAGCAGGATGTCCACCAGCCTGCGCACCACTGCCTCCTCACTGCGCACCACCGCGATGTGCAGCACCCTGTGGGGACAGGACACACCTGCTGGGGTCTTTCCCTAGAGAGGGGCCCCTGGATGGACCAGACCCCGAGAGGGCCTGGGTCAGGGACCCAGTACTGGTCCCCAGTCACACTGCCAGACAGCACTGCCCTGTCCTCACGCTGCTGGGCTGGTCAGGGATTCTGCTGGACTTCTGGGTCTCTTTACAGGACTGGGGTTGGGGACCCCTGTACTAACTGGACTGGGGCTCTCCGGGATCGGGGTTGGGGACCCCTGTACTAACTGGACTGGGGCTCTCCGGGACCGGGGTTGGGGACGAGAGATAGACAGACAAAAAGAGAGACAGATGGAGGGAGTGTTTAAGAGACAGGGAGAGAGAGAGAGAGACAGACAGACAGAGAGCTCTCCCATCTCAACACTGACAGTGTCTCTCTCTCTGTGTTTCCAGTAAGAGCTGCTCCAGTTTGATGTCATTTCCTGTTCTGAAGGGCTGCTGTGGGTCTTTTTAAATTGCTATTATATCTGCTTCTGAAGGGGCTTTTTCACACTTTTTATCTGCGTTTTTTTTTTTACTATTTTCATGTTTCTAACAAAGGAAGTCATTGTATCAGGGGCATGAACAGAAACTTTCAGACTTAAAAACAGAGTTCAGAACAGAGACCCACCCCAGAGCCGGAGGAAACTACAGTGCTGTTCTATTATTATGCTGCTACTGGTACTGGTACTGCTACTGGTACTGTAACTGCTGTCACTACACCTGCTGCTGGTACTGTTACTGCTGCTAATACTCCTACTGGTATTCCTGCTTATACTACTCCTACTGCTACTGGAACTGTTACTGCTGCAGCAGCTAATACCACTCCTGCTGCTACAGTTGATAATACTACTGCTACTACTTCATAGTAAGAGCACAATGCAGTAAAGCCCAGCAAGCTCTGAGCAGGGCGACCCAGAGGGAGACACCAGACAGAGCCCAGCCGGCTCAGGGTTCGAGCAGGGTGAGAATGCTGTGTGGAGGTACCTGCTCTAGCAGCAGGGTCTGGGTGAGACAGAGCACAGGACGCAGAGGGACAGCGGCCGGTTGGCCAAGCTGCCTGCGCCTTTCATTTCACACTTACAGTAAAGATGTCTGGTTAAATGTAACAACAAGTTCTGCTTCTGCTGGCTCGAATCCTTCTCTGACTCTAGGAATTACTCATGCAGCACAGTTACAGTCAGCCGCAGGTCAGCGGGTTAACTCTTTCTGAGAAGGTTATTTCACTCTGCCCCTCTTGCTCATTTTGTCTCTATCTGTATCCACTTCTCCACACCTGTCCACCTGTATGCCTGTACCC